CAATGTAAATTAAACCACACTGGCAAGGAATCCTATAAATACCCCAGGAATTCATATCCGGAATGGGGTCCTTGAGTATAGAAGTTGGAATTTTATTGATGGGAGAATAAACAACCCGAAAGTTAAATTTCTGCAAAATATGTGCAACTTTATAGCTAATTGATGGAAAGAAGGGAATGACAACAGAATTTTTATAATCTCCTCCTAAAATAAGAGTGTGGCTTTTAGTGTGTTGAGATGAGAATTTTTTAACTGCTTGATCAATAATGTTGGGTGAAAAGCCCCTGTCAATAGCTATTGCTTTTAAATAATTTAGTTCTTCATCAAGGGCTAGTTTGGAGGAGCAAACTTGAAGAGCACGGAAAACATAGGAATAAAATGAAGCTAACTTTTATTTACTCGGATGACATGATTTAAAGTGTGATGGAAGGAAAACCGATGAAGGTTTACGGTAAACTGTAGTACTGAAGTTGGATGTGTTCCCAATTGTAGTACTGAAGTTGTGTGTGTGTGGTATTCCTTTCCGCCCTATTGTATCAAATTTAGGTACTGCCTCGTATCCTTTAGCTAAATATTTAGTTTCTAGATTTTCCACTCTATTAGACAATAACATTTACACCATAAAAAATTCAATAGAGTTTGTAAAAAAGGTTAAAAACATTTCTCCTAGTAATTTACCCATGGTTTCTTTTGATGTAAAATCATTATTCACCAATGTCCCAGTGGAGGGTGCATTAAGATGTCTAGAAACCAGACTTCGCGAATTTCATTTCTCTTGCATCGAAATTGATGAGCTAATTTCTCTCACTCAACTCTGTTTGAAACAAACACATTTTGTTTTCCAAAATAAATATTACAAGCAAACTGAGGGATTAGCCATGGGAAGCCCCCTCAGTCAGATCCTGGCTGATATCTACATGCATTATTATGAATCAAAATTGTTTGAAACTTTAAACTTCCCGGCATGGTTCCGCTACGTAGACGATACTTTTACCCTGTTTGAAGGTAATAAAGATGATTTAAATAAAGTTCTTTCAACAATGAATTTTATTGATCCTGTTATTCAGTTCACTTTTGAACTTGAGACTTGCAATTCTCTTCCGTTTCTCGACATTCTGGTCACACGTAACACATCCAACTTCAGTACTACAGTTTACCGTAAACCTTCATCGGTTTGCCTTCCATCACACTTTAAATCATGTCATCCGACTAAACAAAAGTTAGCTTCATTTTATTCCTATGTTTTCCGTGCTCTTCAAGTTTGCTCCTCCAAACTAGCCCTTGATGAAGAACTAAATTATTTAAAAGCAATAGCTATTGACAGGGGCTTTTTCACCCAACATTATTAATCAAGCAGTTAAAAAATTCTCATCTCAACACACTAAAAGCCACACTCTTATTTTAGGAGATTATAAAAATTCTGTTGTCATTCCCTTCTTCTTTCCATCAATTAGCTATAAAGTTGCACATATTTTGCAGAAATTTAACTTTCGGGTTGTTTATTCTCCCATCAATAAAATTCCAACTTCTATACTCAAGGACCCCATTCCGGATATGAATTCCTGGGGTATTTATAGGATTCCTTGCCAGTGTGGTTTAATTTACATTGGCCAAACTAAGAGAGCCTTAAAATTTCGCGTCAAGGAACATGAGGCATATGTTAGAAAAAAGGAAACACAGAAGTCTTCTGTTGCTCAACATTGTTGGTCCGAAAATCACACTTTCAATTTTTTCTGCTGCCAAAATTATTCAAAAAACATCTTCCATTGGAGAACTGGATTTTCTAGAGGCATTTCACATTCATAAAAATCTTTCTGTTCTAGTTAACGATCCTAATTCCAATCCAAATTTGCCTTCGGCTTTTAGAGAAATTATGTTTTAGTTCTGGTTTCGCCAACAGATGGCGCCACTTGCTTATTCTTGTCCAGGCTTTCTTATCTTATCTAATCATTATTTCCTATCTTGTTCATTTGTGTGGTTTTGCAGCTGAAGATGATGGTTTGGTAAAAACCATCGAAACTAGTCCTGTGAAAATTTTGTAGGTATAACGCTGATTTTTGTTGTTTGACTTCTGAATTAGTATTTATTCGGCGTGTTATTGTGTCTTAAAGTGTCTTATGATGAATGATCGCCTCTAGGCAACATGGAGCTGCTGTCTGACTAAATTTGAAGAGGAAAATGAAAATGGCAGAGAATCAGTACTATCCCATTCTGATTAAAAGGCAAATTGGTTGTTCCAAGAAAATATAAAACAGGTTTAGCTAAAATAGCTGGAAACCCTAAAAAATAATACAGTACAAAGTCTGTAATCCGGATGTCCATTATCCGGAATGATCTATAATCCATACCTCAAAGCCACAAATTTTTTTTTTGTATGCTTTACGAATGCACATTTTAGCACAAAAAATGAAGCAACTTAAACAACTTATATTGAAAGAAATGTTTAATAAAGTAAACAAATAAATATTCAGCATTTTTGTTTTGTAAATTTTGATACCCTTTAGATCATAATCGCTCTTTATTTCATAAATTAAGGTTTCATATTTTTAATTGTATAATTTCTGCATGCCATCTTACCAGATTTAAATTGATGATCTATAATTTGGAAAAACCCTTAATCCGGAATCGCCGAAGTCCCGATGAGTCCGGATTACGGACTTTGTACTGTATTACTCTACAACTGTAAATAAAAATGAACAAATTCAAAATGTTGTTTAGGATAACATTAATCCTCAATGCAACAAGCATTAAATGGTACATATGCTGAAAGTTGGCATAATGCCATGCTATCAGAAAATACTTCTCTCGCTAAAGAAAAGGCTTGAGAACTATTGAAAGGACCTCAAAAGGAAAGTTATTGGTACTAAATTAAAATACAATCAAGACGGCATTATAAAAAATTGTAAGCTTAGGCTAGTTCCTAAAGGTTGAGCTCAAATCCCTGGCCTTAATTTCATTGAACATTTTGCTCCTCTTGCTAGATTAAGTTCCCTATGAACTGTTTTAGACTATGCTCCAGAACACAGTCTAAAAGGTTACCAATTAGATTTTGTAATGTCCTATGTAAATGGAAATTTAGGTGAAAAAATTTGCATGGAAATTCCTGAAGGTTTTTGCGATGGAGCAAATTCAGATAAAAGTGATCTTTATATGGTCTGAAATAGCTAAAAAGGCAATGGGGAGGGGAAGAGGGAAACCAATAAAATCTATGAAGTTTCTAAATTTAGGTAATTGTGTTTATACCAAAAGGACATCTAGCAGTGAAATCACCATAATTATTTAAGCTGACGATTGTACCATTTTTAGTGATTATAAAATAGTTTCAATAGTTTAGCTTCAGCTTTTAAAATGAAAGGCTTCAGAAAAATTACATTCTGCCCAAGCATACAATTTTATCAAAATAAAAATTCATTTAAAATTTCTCATTGATGATATTTTAAATTGCAATAATATGCAAAATACTAAATCTGTATCCTCACCTACAGGTAACAGCACAAAATTATCAAAAAAGATGAGTTTTCAAATGAAAATGAAATTTCAGAAATAAATAATGTCCCATTTAAAAATTTCATAGGATCACTTAAATATAATTTAGTAGTTACCAGGCCAGGTATTACATATGCATTGAATATTTTAAGTCAGTTTAACAGCAGTCTTGGTTTGGTTTGGTTTATGCGATTACAGCAACGCCTCCAAGGCTATCTGCCTAAGGAAAGGGATGCCTTTGTGGAAGACTTTCTAAGGGAACTGGCTCATATACATGTTACACATGGGAAAAAACATGAAAACACACATGCAGCCAGCCTGTTCGTGGGATTTGAACCTTAGACCAAACTACCAGTGTTCAGCGACTTTACCGCTCGGCTGCTGGTGGGCAATAGCAGTCTTGGGAAAGAACATTGGGTTGCTACAAAAAGAATACTTCAGTATCAAAAACAAAGCTGAGATCAAGGAATAATTTACAGCCAAACAGGAAAATTGCTCATCACAGAAAAATTGTCTTTGGATGCAGACTGCGTATCAAATGTTAAGGATCGAAAATCTCATACAGATTTTGTATTTATACTAAGTGGTTCTGCGATTGTCAGGGAATCATGAAAAAAGCAAAGTGTAGCTTTATCATCAGTGAAGAATGGTTCAAAAGAATATATGGTTCTTTCTGAAGCTGCCATAGGAAGTGCCTATCTACATTGTTTTTCAGAACTAGGTTACAGCATGGAAAACAGAACAGCAATAAATTATGATGGTCTGGAAGCTCTTAAATGATAAAGAACTTTGTTTTTCACTTCTGTATAAATCATACAGACATTCAACATCATTCTGTGCAAGAAGCATAGGAATATAGTGAACTAAACATGCACTATATACCTCCAGTGAAATGGAAGCGGATATGTTAACCAAACCTGCTTTACGTTAAATTACTTTATAAGTTTTCTACTCTGATGTTTTTATATATTCATCATTACAACAAATACTTGTCCCTATTTCTGTAAGATTCTGCTATTATTCCTATAAAAAGGCTATAAAACTGACGAAGTGATAGCTACCGGGTATGGACATCTGAAAGTAACCATAAGTATAATTTTACTGATCCTGATAAGGAATGCCACATGTAGAATATTAAAAGGTTGCAGGCGGAGCAAAATAAATATCAGCACAATATTATTTGCCACCAACTAAATTCCTATCTAACTGAATTCATGTGGCGTCAGTTGCATGAGAAGATGCAAATATTTTTGGCAGTTTCAAATGAAATGCCTTTATTGTATCATTTAATTTGTATACTTGTAAAATCTATCTTACATATTTACATTTCTCTTCAAATTGATTTGAATTTAATTAAACAGTGATTTTTAAATGAAGCTGTACATATTGTCAGGTTTGCCATCTAGTTAAATTTCTAGGTAATACTTACGTTTGGCTCTTTACAGAACCCCCTTAACAGAAAAGTATCACAGTTATAATACTAAAATTGAAGTTTCTAGACTTAATTTAAATACCTTTTAAAATTCTGAGGTTAAAGCCATTAGCAGTTAATCTTTCATCAAGCACAGGATCTCCACTAACACTGCCAGCAGTATCCCACAAGTGTAATACTGTCTGAAGAATTTCATCATTTCCTAAGGAACTAAATTCACATTATATTAAAAATCAAATCACTTTGCACAATAAATTTCTGTATGAGATAAAACCATTATGTAAGTAATAGCAAATATCTAAATGTAAGTACATTGCACAAAAAGGGAGGCAGTTCTATATTTCCCGTTCTACTGGGTTGACTGACAAAATTCAAATTATGTTTTTCATGTCTCGAAAGCATGACTTGAGATATATATTAGATTTATACATAGAATTGTTCTTTAATATGTATTTTGATACAAATATCGGACTTTTTCTAAAATGACATGCCAAGTTTTTTCCATAATTCGATTCTACGACTCAAATTGCGCCTAAATATTAAATTTTGTAAAATTTGGTGCAAAATGTTTGTAGAAATTTAAAAAAATTACCTTGGCTCTTTTTTTTTTCAGTTTGAGCCAAGATCTTTTTTTCACTTGGCGAACTTCTTAATTTATAGCAACCTATTTTCCTTTCCTTTTCTTTCTTGTCCATGAACAGAGAAAAAGTCATTTTTCATACTTTCAAATAATTTTAACAAAGTGCGTAAACCATATGTTCATTATTATTGCTTAAAATAAATATGCCAAATTAGAAATACATCTACTTTAAGATGATGGCTGCAATTTTATAGAATATAATGCAAAACGTTTTTTGAAAAATTTATAAAAATTATTTAAAAATACAAATTTTAAAAATAAATCATAAAAAATGGGCAAATTTTATTTGGAATGAACCTAAATTTCAAATTGTGAAAGGAAGAATCAAATAAGTTTAATAAAAAAGAGAAATTAATAAATGTATACCAAACTGAATTAACATGGAGGAGCTAAAATTTTGAGAGCTAATTTTTTAAAAACTACTCGTGCAATTTTTAGAAAACTTGGTAATTTGGCAGTCGTAGAATCGAAACATGGAAAAAAATTGGCACGTCATTTGAGAAAATGTTCGATTTTGTGTCAAAATACCTATATTAGATAATGCTATATACAAATCTAATACATATCCCAAGTCATGCTTTCGAGACATGAAAAACACAAATTGAATTTCATCAATTGATCCAATAGAATGGGATATACGGAACTGTCCCTCCCCCCTTTTTTGCGTAGTGTACAAAGAAGCTGACATAAAACAGATAAGTCATAAATTTTCCTCCCTTATAAATATAAGAGAGAAAGATAACTTGTTATTATGCAAAATTTAGGAAATTAAAAATTCTGTGAATTTGATAAGTGAGGTTAGAAAGGAAAAACTGCAATTAGAGTCTAGTTCATGAGTTTTAATTACCACATAAATATAAAAAAATACAATAATAATAAAAAATGTTACAAAAATCATGAAAAGACATTCATATGAAATTATTTTGTTTAAATACATGGCAGTTCACTTCATCATGTAATTGTACTTTTTAGCTGATGGCTCAAAATTTGATGTGATTCAATATGTCACGTAAAGAATCTTGATTAGTTTCATTTTTAATATTTCACAGAGTTTTCAGAAAGACACATGAAATACAAGCAACTCATAATTAGCATAGTAATACATATATGAGAACTCCAAGTAACACAGAAGAGCATAATCTATCTTAAGATGCAAATAATCAATGGGCAGCCCACTACATACAATTGACCATTCTTACATAATGCTCATTTCGTGCTCAAAGAGCCTTCTTAACTATGACAGAGCTGTCCCTACAGGCATAACTATTATAACTTAGAAAAATATTCGAGCAGTTTGTAGTCATTTGGATTACTGAAGTAGGAAACATAAAAAATGTGCAGTGCCCTTGCTGGGACTTGAACCTGGACCTCTTGAATATGCACCACGCGTAAAACTGTTGCACCATGAAGGCATGCTGGAAGGATACTTCCCCTTTTAAAGGATGGCTAGGGATTAGGGGACCCAATTGCCAAATCCTGATGGTGAAGAATCGTCATCCACCACTTTTTAGTTTGGGTGCCACTATAGAGTCATTAGGTTATTATTATTATTTTTTTTTTTAAAGCAGGAATACATGTAAAATGTGCAATGCCCTCGCCAGGACTTGAACCCGGACCTCTCGAACACGTGCTGAGTGTGCTACCATTACACCATGAAGGCATGCTGGAAGGAGGAAGAAATACCTTGTAAGTTGAACATCAGTTTCATAGAATGAATCATTTGCTCCTTTATGTTTGACAGCCCCCCCTATTCTATTCTTTTATTTGCACTTGGAAAAAGTTTTTAAATATTGAAGCTTAGATATTAGCTATCATCGGGTGACATAATATTAACATTACACCAAAGACTTTTGATAACTACAAGCAATAATTTTTCTTTATGTGTGGAAAATTAAAAAAAACTGCACTTTCATGAAGTATGAATTTTATAATAAAAATGGGCTTTTGAACTATTTAGATAAGGAAAGTTACATTTATGCAACTGTTTTTTAAAACAACATTTTAATTTTGTAACAGAATCTCAGACTTAAGTGCTGTGTAAAAGGCTAAACAAAATAAAAGCTTGATAGTGTTACCACTAGAAAAGTGAGTTTCACAAATAGATAAGAAATGCTGTGTTACCTAAACAATGGATTTAGCATTTTGCACATCCTAAGATTAAGATAATGGCATATATATATATATATATAAATTATAAGTGAAAGCAAACACACAACTGAAAAAAATAGTACATTTCAAAAAAATTAATTGAAATGCTGCACATAATTTTAAACGCTAAACAAATGGGAAGGAGGATCACAATTTCTTTTTGATATGAATAGTCAGTATCATATAAAGTACACTGCAAATAATGTTAAATGGATGCAACTGTCTGATTAATACTCTATTGAATAATAAAGTTTATTACTATACAATATTAATATTTTATTGTAAGCATTAGTTTACCAGAGAAATAAGTATACTCAAAACAGTTTTTTAACATTTCTAAACATTTTGAATTTTGCAGTAACCCTGTTTTGACACTTTTGAACTCACTTCTAACACAATAGAAAATATGCCTTTCCAGTATAAGAAAGGTTTGAGGTATATCAAATAGTATCAATAGTATTATTATGCAACAAAAATTAGGAATTACTTTAAATAACAAATCAATATTATTCTACAACAATTAATGATCAATTACTGTTAATAAAATATGCACTCACCTCAGACATATTTCATATGGAGGATTCAGAGGCTCAGCTTCAAACTGATAAGTTTCTAATAACGTATAGTAGATAATTGTTTCTTGTAGACGAAAAGTATTCAGTAAATACAATTTATTATTTTGTCTGCACAACCAAACACCTGGTGCCAAGGGATTTATCAAATCAAAATTCCCTTTCTTTTCTTTTTGAAAACTTAAAAAAAAAAAAAAAAAAAAAAAAAAAAAAAAAAACCACGGTAAATAGAATTTTTTCTACATGTCAATAGAAATATACTTTGCAACTTTCTTATTTAAAACTTTTCAAATAATTTAACAACCATATTAAAATGAAAAATCCATAATTAGATAGGACAATCAATCATTTAAAAGGCAAAATTTGGAAAATTTTCTACCTCATTTTCATGGCATCTTGTACCATTTGAATGCTAAATATGACTTCTTTTTCTTTGACTTTTTGTTTCCTTTTCATTGTAATATTTGCTGACAGCCGTGATACAGTTTTCTTTTTACATAACTGTTGAGTTAGTGCTTTACTAACTTTTTCCTTTTTCTTTACATTTCTGAAAAAAAAAAAAAAAAAAAAAAAAAAAAAAAAAAAAAAGACTTAATATTAAGGCTGTACGTCATACTTTAAAAATTTTAATTTTTCAAGGTTCAACATAAATTAGTAATGTAAATCCTGGATAAAATTATTACAAATGACTTGGAACCAAACATCCATGAATTAGTGGAAACACTGTTAGTAGACAAAACAACGGTTGAACGAAATGAAAGTGTTTGAACTCATTATTAAGTTCAATTAATGGATTATACACTAACTTTTGGAGATGAAATAAGTTTGTACAGTTGCTTTCTCATTACAAAAAGGAGCAATTTTTTAGAACAAATTTTAACATGCCATGAGAAATGGATACTATACTATAATGTGAAGCACCAATGGACTCAGGGATAAGGTGCAGAATTTGAGCTGTCCGCCTTTAAAGGAAGTACATAAATGAAAAGTAAATATTAGTAAAACGTAACCAGACTTTGAAGTAGGAAATGTAAAATGTTTTAGAATGTGGTGTAGGAACATGAATTTTTAAAATTATTTCAAACTTTGTTTCAAACTACAAAATTATTTGTAGATTTTTAATACATGTACTATTAGTCGCTTATTAAGAAAAACTTATGTCAGCTATTACTTAGTAAATGTAGCAAGGTAATTCAAAAGCAAATTATTGGATTAACTTTTCAATTTAAGACACCATAAAATCACTGTATAATTTCACATTTTATTATTCAGATTAAAATCAAATAGAATTTTACTTAACTAATTATTATTATTCGAATTATTACTTAACTAAGCTCTTTCAGACATAATTATTTAACTTGAGCAATGAGATCAAGAATTCCAAGATAGCACTGTACTTGTAAGCACTGTACACTGTACTGCACATAGTAAATGAGCCAATTAGTAATATGGATGAGAGTGATGATTCATTTTCTAAAGAATTAGTGTGATATTTCTAGTACATGTCTAGTGTCTAATACAAAAATTTTGCCAGAGACTGAGCTCCCACAGTAACTGCTTTTCACTTTCCATGAAAGATTTTGTTACTTCTCCTTGTAAATAGCCTTTCTTATTTTTTTATTAATTAAAATTTTATTAATGCATTTTGTCAATTAAAACTTCGGAATAATTTGAAGAGTGCTTCCGAAAATTATTTCTCAAAGTAAGCAATTTTTTAAATATATTTTTCATGTAAAATAATAAAATAAAGGAAAAAGATTATTAAAAGCTAATTTTAATACTATATATGATAGTTTAAGTAATAATCTAATACCAAAAATTATGATCTCAGGACTTAAACTTTTTTTTTTGTGAACTTTTTTCTAAAGTTAGGCTTAGCGATGCAAAACCCCATCCTGTGGGATGGTTCCTTTCGACTCTCATTCGTCCCAAAGGAACATCTTAAGCAATGGAATGCCATTTCGAAAGGGTTAATATTGTTAATAATGTAAAAATTATACAAATAAGCACTAAAAGTTATTTATTACATTAATATTTCAAATTTAATGACTCAAATCATTTGAACTACAATCTTGTAAAAATATTATCATTAAAAGAATGTGTGCATGTGCACTTTTTAAACCACTAACTGAAAATTTTGTGCATTTCAAGCAGAGCCTGGCTTCATTACTTATTGCCTGAGGTGGGGTGAGAGGGAAGATATAAATAGAATTTGTACAGGAAAATTGGGATAGACATTGGTTTATTAAATGAATTACCCAAATTTGTCTTTCCTCCATTACTTTTGAATGATTCATTACTAGATGAAAATCCACACATATTTTTATAGAATCCATAAGGCTAAAAGAACTAAATGTTTTTGAAACAAAAGCAAGAACTGAAATTACTGACAGAGGGTTTTGAAAATTTTGTCTAAGAGATAGAAGGTGAGAAACAAAATAGGGTTTGAAAACTTTCAGAGTTTGTATTTAAGTCACCAAATGGAAATGTCTGCTATTAGCATCTGATATGTAAATTAAAAGTTAGAATAAAACATCTCAATTGGCTTAATTTAGTTTGATGGCACAGAAAGACAAGTTCAGGTTAAAATTAGAAAGACATATTATTCTTCATCAAACAATGCAAATATCTTGAATATGCATACTGACTCTAGATTTTCAGCTGATGTTTTCTGTTTTTATGTCTTAAAATTATTCATAGTTTTTTAAAAAACTTTTTCAATTTCCATTGCTAAGTAAAGGCAAGTATTTATTTGAAATACAGAATCACCAAAATCACAATGATTCTGGATTTTGGACTTTTACTATATATTTATGTATGTTTAGTGATAAATGTTTCTCAATCCCAGTTTATCAGCAAACAAATCATTGCAGAATTTTGATCTCTATGCCATTAGATAGACTGAAAACTAACATTCCAAATTTTTTTGAATTTCTAATGTAGTTTGCCAAATTTTGGCAGCTTTTCAATTTCTTTAAAGGTAACTTGAATTTGCTAACAATTGCAGATTCATAAATCAAGATTTAATCCTTCACTGGCTAGCAGGCTCATGACTGACAAGATTAGATTGTTAAGTCAAACATCAATTTAAGTGAGACTGAATGAAATCTTGTTCCAGATTAGAAAGAACTGTATTTGTTATATTCAGAGGCAGTGATTTTTTAATCTTTTTTTCATGCATTCTATACAGCAAAATACATTAAAAAAATTATGTAATTTTTTTTTTAAATTGCAGGATTTTTTTAAAATCTCTCATAATAGTTCATTAATTATTTTTTAAATCTATCAAAATATTCACAAATTTAAGTGATTAAAAATAAAATTGTGAGGCACCCATATCTAAAACATATTAGGCCATTAATGGAATTTTAAGAAAAACAGAAGCAATATATTTAAGAATGATTATGCTCAATTTGATTACATTTCCCTTTAATAATTTTGTTTTAAAAATCCTTCATTCAGCAGCCATTTGATATTATTTTAGTCATATATGATCAATATAATGATAGTGAAAAAGATAATTTTTCTGTTTTTAATACATTCAAATAAAGCCCTGAAATTTAACCTAAAGATGAAAATTCCTGTGTTACTTTTTTTGTAGCACTGATTGCTAGTGGTCGCTTTGATGGGGGAGGTAGAAAAAACATGTTTTGCAGTGGAAACTAGAAACTTTTTGCGCTCAGGCTAATTATACATTATGCATTTGTGGTCACCGCAAAAGTCAAGCGAATCACATTGTGCGGACTCTAATTCTGGCTTATTTACTGAAAACTCACTTTCAAATTTTTGGACCAAAAACATTACCTATGCTATTGGTGCCCAACCTTTGGCCTATCGCGAGCACATTTCCAAAACATCAACATTTTTGTTAAACATATTTCCAATCTTATGTGATACATCTGAAATATTAATTTCGGCAAATGGGTTTGAGATGAATAATAATATTAGTTGAACTTTATGGAAATCAGAGGAGTTCAAAATTATTTTTCAGTGCATTTAGGTTTTCAGAGTATTTCTCTGTTTCAATTGCCTTGCGGTTATTAATATGGCTTGATAAATTCTGAAAATGGGCCAAATTGTTTTCTTTCATCAGATTTATCCACAAATTTTAACTTTATTTGAAAAGCAGTTACAGTCCCAGTCAATTGAAAAAGGGTTTTTTCTTTTCCCTGGAGATCTTTGTTCAGTTTAGCTGTTATATCTGTGAGAAAATACAGATTGGATAACCAATTATTATCATAGAATTTTTTATAACTTTTGTTTCTGGATTCCAAAAATTTCTTTATTGGTGAAATCATTGAAGAACTTTTCCCCTGCTGAGCTATCTAACATCGGAATGAAGCAATTAGATTCCATGTTCACTATCAAGTTCATCAGTCAGCAATTAATTATTTTATAATGCCTTGCAAGATATCTCTTATGATTATAAATGCTTACCATATTTGAACTATTAAGAAATATTTAAAAATATTTTTTACTCACAGTACTTAATCTGGCTGGTGAGCATGTACAAAATGATCAGCGAGCACAAGGTTGGGCACCGCTGAGCTATGCATACAGGTTGGCGGGATGCAAAACATAATTATCCGTGTCATTAAAAGGTAATTCAGTCAAATACCAAAAATTCGCCGACCTGAAATCCGCGTTGATTCTCAAAATATAAACATTCAGTTTATAGGTTCAGGAAACCACAACATTAAGTACGAAATATCGAAGAAAAAATACTTACCAAAAAATGACGTCATAATTACCGAATATTAATGAGTCATAATGGAAATACCAAATTATTGACATCATGACAAAAGTGTTTTCCCCTCTAATCTGCATCAAGGTAAGAAAGCAGACGATTCACTCAACTCTTCATTCAAGTTCATGATTCACGTTGTATTTTCTGAGCTTTGTTATTTCACAAGATTATTTATTGCTGCCTTTTTTTATCTACATATTTTGCGGATAAATTAAGAATATTTTAAATTTCAGCCCTTTTTAATACAATTACAGATAAGAAACACACACATGATTTACCTGCTTGCAACGTTGAAAAACGTAAAAACACGTTGCATTGATGGCAATGCAAAAAGTGCAAATTTTGCAAAAGATGGAGACAGGTGCATTTTACAGCAGAATCATATGGAATTGCAATATGATTGTGTATGATACACGGAAAAATAAAGAAAAGCTGTTGAAATTTTACAGCAACAGTGATTCTAACACCGGAAATCTTTGCATGAGGCGAAATCAGCAAACCTCGATACTGTGTATATATAATACAGTGAATAATATAATCAATTTATATATGCAATAATAATTTAACACATATAATAAGTTGTTGCAATAATCTATATAATAATTTAATTAAATGTAACTAATATGTCTTATTTATTTTGCACTTTTAGTCTGAATATTATGATTTATCTTTTATCCACAAAACCTCTGGTCCCAAACTTTGCGGATGGACTTCTACTGCATTCATAAAATTATAATGTAAAATATAATTTGAATTTTAGAACTGAATTACAGGACAAATTTGTTTTTTAAAATATGGAGCATTTTAAAGCACTTAATATCTAAGTGATCATTTTATCAATTTAAAGATAATTTTACACAGTTAAAATATTATACAATTAAAATAATGCCAAAATAATTTTAAAAACATTATATTGTTACATTTCTTATTTTGATACCATCTTTGCCATCTAACAAAAAAAACAAAAAAAAAAAAAAAAAAAAAAAAAAAAAAAAAAAATTTTTTTTTTTTTACTTTGGGTAGCCTTTAGAAGCCAAGCTTTTGAATGCAGCTTTCTCCTCTTCAGATAAATGACTCCACTTTTCAGTCAACACTTGAGCAATCTGATGATTATTGAATTCAGGATTCTGAGCAGCAACTAAAAAACAGAAATTACCCAAGAACACAATAAGAAACAATAAAATGAAGTCCAATAACAAGAACTACGGAAGAAAGCTGAACATAGGATGATTTTATTTCTTTAATAATTTTTTCTGCATGAAAAGCTGCTTGCTTAAAGACTAATTTAAGGAAAGTTTTTATTCAGATAACACAAGAATTATTTAGGAATTGATTTTGTTTAGAATTTAAAATGTCATATCAACAGTATTTTTTTGTTCTTAAATGATTTCTAACAAAAATTAAGTATAACAGTCTTTTTTAATCTACCCAGGATTTTTACTATCAAGGAAATGAATAGCAGATGACAGGAAAAGAACAAAGTCTGAGATATAGGTAACATTCCTCAGACAATGAGAAATTTTGAGCTTTTGAATATGCCAAGCTATCTTATTAAAAAAAAAAAAAAAGTATAACATTTTGCAGCAGTGACAATAATTAACATAATCATTAACAAACACAGACAGGCTTTGTGGCCCTTGCCCCCCCCAAAAAAAACTCAATTAAAGAACAAGGGGAAAAAAGGTATATTCACAATGAGAAAACTAGAAATTGCATTCTCAGCATAAATTTACTGAATTTCACTGAATTTGATGCTTGGTTATTTCTATTGTCAGTAGCCACAAAACCGTTATAAATGATAACGCTGAAAGTGATTCATGCCTGTTGAAACCAGTACCTTATTTTACTACTTTTACTTTTGAAAAGATGTAAAATTCAGTTTCAGAACTGATCTAAATTCAGACAGGAAAGATAATTTCATAGCCAAAAAGCACATGCGTGCATACACACACAAAAAATGGTTAATAGATTCTAATATTTTATTTTCCACTATTGTTCCTAAATGATATACAGTCAAAAGTCGTTAATTCGGACACCCATAATCCGGACATCAAAGCTACAAACTTTCTACGCATGCATAAGACCTTTACGGCTGCGAATATGCGTGTGCGCATGCGCATAATACGTTTACACATGCGCATTTAATGTATAACGGACGGTATAAGCTAAGCTAAAATTATCTAATTCAGTTAATGTTGCAGATAGCGCTGTTCCTTAATCTTCAAATTGGATCTGGCTTATTATTTTTTGCAGACTGTTAGAGCAATTTTATAAAAGTAAGCTTGGACTTTCGATTATGTCAAATACAATTTCCAATATATATTTACTAATATGTAAAGGATCTACAAAGCGAAAGTATGTTTCGAAGTCCATTAAACAAAAAGTGGAAGTGCTGCAAAAATTTGATAAAGGCATATCCTTTGTTTTTCTAACCATTCTGAAATCTGTCTATCAATTTCACGCTGCTCTGCGGGGGGGGGGGGGGGGGCATCGCGGCCCACAATGAACTGAAAGTTGATCTGTCAGCACTATCCTTATCTTCTGGGCAGATGTTTTTATGTTTTTATTTTATTTGGCTTATAATTCCTTACTAAATGTAGTATTTCATCTCGACGTACTCCGTCTTTGATATGATTTAAATCAAATTCCTCATCATTATAATTCGCTTGTGATAGCCAAAAAAGTGACTTAGAGGTTATTGAAAACGAAAAAATTTCGATTGACAAATTAGTCATTATTCTCGACACAGCAATTATAGGACTTGAACAGAGGAACTTTGTAAATGAACAAGAAATTATGTCTGTTTATAGAATTAAAGAGAAAGTATTATCACATAAAAAACGAAGGAACTTAAATCCCTTACATTGAAAGAAATGTTTAATAAAGTAAATAAATAAATATTAAGCTTTTTCTTTTTGTAAATTTTAGATACCCTTTAGATCATAATTGTTCTTTATTTCGTAAATTACGGTTTCATATTTTTAATTTTATAATTTCTGCATGCCATCTTACCAGATTTAAACTGATGATCTATAATCCGGAAAAATCGATAATCCGAAATCGCCGAAGTCCCGACGAGTCTGTATTAACGATTTTTGATTGTATGTATATGCATTATCTATAAAGGTCATTGTAAATAAAGAAATGAAGCTAGTTAGACTATACAGATAAGGAAATATGTAAATTAGTAATATAACACTGCTAAATATGAAAGTTCAAAAACTAGTTTCTTATATTTTAATAAAAGAAATCTAGTTCTTCCAGGTAGTTTTTCCTACATTTTTTCCACTGTGGAGGAAAATTGCCTGGTTCTTATGTGGCTTTTTTTTTTAATCTGTCTTCCAAAATTCAATTTGAGATGCACTAACAGAAATAAAAAACGTTTACCATCTACTGTGATATTTAATGAGAATTGCTTATTCTTTCTTTACAAATACATTAGTAACATTTTCTCACATATATTGCAAATTCAACACACATTCACCACTCATCTCTAAAAATTTTGAAAGAAAGATTGTATTTTACCCATTAAATAATTGAATCAAACTTTAGGAATCACAGATGGATTTCAAATGCAGCACAATTAATGTAATAATTGCAATTCAGGGACAACTACAAAACAGCAATCGCTTATATTAGTGGTTTTGCTCTTTCTCTATCAGAAAATATTACGTCATATTAAATATTCCTAAATAGATACAAATTTTATTTGTCATTTAATATAAAACTGGAATAATTGCATTAAGAATCCTGTGATGACCAATACGAATCAGATATGCAAAACCTTGAGTTATTTATAGCTGATGTTAGAATGGCTGACACAATAAAACATGGAAAATTGCACACAAGATGGTGGTAACCTTGAAACATTTCACCAAGCCACAGCAATGAAGTGTTACTGTGATATTACTTTTAAATGAAGAAATAAAACCTATACAAATTCATCACTGAATGAAAATTCAGTATGGTGACAAGTGTATGCATCATACATCACAGGGTGAATGCACCGAAAAGATAAAGACCAGCATTAATAATATGGAGGATTCTCCTTACCCAGGTCTAGCAGTCACAGACTAGACTTGCAGAGTATACTATGAGAAATCTAATCAATCAGAAATGAAAGAGAAAATAACAATATTATATATTAACATAGGATCAGCTCAACATCAATCATTACAAGTTTCATTAAATACGTGCAAAATGTGTACAAAATGACTTGACATATGATATGGGGGAAAAAAAAAGGTCAGTATTTGCCAAAAGTTTTCCATCACTAGGAAATGATTATTAAGTACTTTTGCAATGTATCACTACTGGATATAAGACCAGGGTACAACTGAGGAACAAAAGTTCTAGAGTGGGAGGCGTGGACCAGGTGAGCAGAATTTTGCTGCTCGTTCCCATCGCACCAGCCGCTGTGCTCTGCTCATGTTTTAGTTGGTCCAAATAACATGTATGTTAAGAATGAAAGCTATGATAAAGCAGGAGTGGCTCCATCAGAACGGAGAAGGAAAAATATGTTTACTTTACAAGGGCTATTCATCCAGCTTTAATACTTCTTTGTGCATGCAAACTGAGGAATAGCTGTCTAAGCAGATCCACCCTTAATACCTTTTTACGCATGTGTGAAGCAGTAGTCATGCCATCAAGGTCTGAGGGTCCCATCTGTCAAGAGTTCAAAGTTCTGTGATACCATTCTGGGTACACAAGTTACATGTACTTATAATGTGAACATAAACTGTTGACTTATTATTTTTCTTTTCTTTGTCATGAGTTTGACGAAAAAATGCAATGCAATGATGATTATGTTAAATACAGTTTTGTTGCTATAAAAAAAGTGTCGACCAGTCTCAAAGTATTATTAGTTATGAAATATTGAGCAATGATGATATGAGACTTTCTATAGCAACATTTGTTGACAAAATATAGAGCATTAAAAGACAAGCCAAAGCAATTTTTTTTGCTGCAAAATGTGCAAATTGAAACATACTGTATCCTTTATTTGGTCATCTGAAAGAGCACTTGAAGCCTTCGTATAAGTTATCCCTATTCATCGTAAAAGCTGAGAAAAGTCATATTATCAGAGAAAATTCCTTAAACCCTGCCCGTTGAAAGCAGGTAATATTATTCTTGGACTAGAAAGTAAACAAAAGCTTTTACAAACATTGCTTTCTGAAAACACTATGAAATGTTGCATTGATAATATGGCTAAAGAAAAAAAAAAAAAAAAAAAAAAAAAATATCAGTGCAGGCCGAGAAAGAATCAAATTTTTCGAAATACAGTTGGATACTGCAAAATGTTATCAATTGTTAGGTTTTTTTTTTTGGTTCATACAAAATGAAACAATTAAAAATGAGACAGTGTTTTCTACAGAGTTTTACCCTACTTCAAAAATAATTCATATAATGATAGCACTCTCTGAATTCTTTTGCAAATATGAACTGCCATGGCATATCATGGGAAGCTGATACGGCATATGCACAGATGGTGCTCCGTCAATTCTTGGATCTTGCTCAAGATTCGTACAGATGGTTAGAGAAAAAATTTCCAATGTTACATTTATTCCCTGTGTTATACATTATTAAGAAATGGCAGATAAGACATTTCAAAATGAACTCAATGATATCTTAAAATTATGCATCAAAATTGTCAAATCATGTTAAAAAGAGTGCTTTTTTTTACGACACTTTGTGATGATTTAGGAAAAGAATATTAAACATGATTATTTCACATGGAAGTGCACTGGCTCTCAAAAGGAAATATGTTAGAAAGATTATTTGAACTTCAAGATGAAGTGATTTAATTTTTTGGAAATTCAAAATCAAAGTGTACCTGGAATTTAATTAATATATTAATATCATCATGTATCATGTAAAAAATTATCATCAAGAGAGTATAAGGGTAATCTCCTGAATCGTAAGTGCATGACAAGGCTGGTATAGTATAGTTGCCAATATTATCTAAGCAGCAGAGCATCTGCATTAGTTAGAAAATTGCTGATCATTCAAAAAAATATATATACCTCTATAAATGCTCAACAACCATACTGCACTTCAAAGTGCAGAACTGTGATGGAACACTTCAAAGGGCAGAAAGGTCCCTCACAATGCTGGCGTTGCCAGGGATTCTTTCATTCT